CTAATCTTCAGCATCGCAGCCGCGCTGGGCGAGCCTCGCGGGTGTCCGTCTCTAACTCTCCTTTTTGACTACCTTGGTCACATATACTTTTGTAAAAAGTAACCCAAATAAAACGACGACACGCCTTCCCTAAAAGACCACCCAAGTAGGGACTTTTCCCCCACCCCCACACACACACACACACACACACACACACACACACACACACACACCACGCACACACGCACACACACGCACACACACGCACACACCCACACACCCACACACATACACACCCACACACATACACGATCACGAGCATCACAACCGGCGCACCTGCAGCGCTGAGGATGTCTTCGATGCGGAAGACGGGGCAGTAGCGGTCTGTGGACTCATTCCAGAGACAGCTCTTCAAGTACGACGCGCTGCTGTTGCCAAGACCTGATGTCATTACACACGGAGCCATGGGGTCATGGGACATGAGAGTGTGTGTGGTTGTGCATGTGTGTGGCGGGCTGTGAATGAGGAGGGAGATAGTGTGTGTGTGCTTTTGTGTGTGTGTGTGTGCGTGCTTTTGTGTGTGTGTGCGTGTGTGTGTGTGTGCTTTTGTGTGTGCTTTTGTGTGTGTGTGTGTGCGTGCGTGTGTGTGTGCTTTTGTGTGTGTGCGTGTGTGCGTGTGTGTGTGTGTGTGTGTTGAACTTAAAACCTGATGCAGAGACAAAACGTTGATGATGGCTGAGCAGTCGTGCAGAAGCGCAAGTACACGGCTCTCACCTGTGTTCCCAAACTTGCGCTGAAAGTGTGGGAAGAAGATGGTGTTCTTGATAAACATGGTAAAGTTCTTCACCCTGACCAAGCGTGGGCACACACGCAGAGAGAGCGTAAGCCAGATGCTTTTGGAGTATCATGTGTATGGTCAACAGACACCACACCCGCAAGCACTCAAAGGTGCAGGCGCAACAAATGCACATGCTCACACACGCAAATGTACATGCACGAATGTGCGGATGGTACTGACTGCGGCATTTGTCGCGGATAACCGAGGACCTGCGATGCATCATCGTCCTTCGACAACTCAACGGGGCCCCATCCATACACCCTGTACGGTGAACGATGACAGTGAAACATGGCAGTTGAGTCTCAAGTCAAGTCATGGATTACACCCCCCCCCCCCCACACACACACACACACCCACCACACACACACACACACATTGATGCACACACGAACGCACGCCCACTCACACACACACATATTTATACACACATGCACATGCACACACACACACATGCATACACACACACACGACAGAAGCAGCACGTGCGCACATACATGCATCGTTTGGTGGCCAGGTCGCATTTGCCGGACACGGCGCCGTTGCGCGATGGCGAGAATCTGACGGCCTCGCAGTCTGCGTTCTTTCTGCAAAACATGGACCACAATGACGCATTTGGGTATGTGTTGTGTGAGTGTGTTACACGTGCTTGCAAGCAACGACCCTTACAAAGAATTCATCCCAACTTCCAAGACACGCAACCGCTCTCAACTTCCGGTCCCAAGCATGCAGGCCCAAATGAAGTTGAGAGGAACGTACTCGCAAGTGTATGCGCGCTGGGAGCCCTTGGTGCTAGCATCTGGATCCTCAGGCCAGCCCCCTGGTTGCTGTGTCTGGTTACTGGTCTGCACTGAGTTGGTGACGATGAAGGCCGCATTGGATTCTTGAGGCGGGATCACGTAGTCGGCCTGGCAACAAGACATATCACAGTCGATCGTTGAGTGAGCTTCAAAGGAAGGCACAGAGAGAGTAGAGAGAGAGAGAGAGAGAGAGAGAGAGAGAGCGAAACAGGCATACACTGTTGCCATATGCACACGCACACGCACACGTGCACGTACGCGCCCCCGCAAACACACGCGTTTGTACAACCACACATGACCTCACTGACCGTGTCCCAAACGCGAATGTCGCTGTCACTGCAGTTTCGGATGGAGGTGACGTTGAGGTCATTGCAGGTGACGGCAACGCCTTTCACCTTCGAGTACACGGTACTCACAGCTTGGTCTGCGGCTTGATAACCTAACGAATGACACAAAAGATGCCGCAGCAGCAGCACTACGTAAGCACCATCTCAGTACACGCAGACACAGCTTGGAGGCACTCCATGCCGACACTTGCCTTTCTGCCAAATGATGGCGTAGCCGATGATGTATCCGAGAATGACAAGCTGGAGGATGCGGAAGATCAACCCGACCTGCCAATGCAAGCCAGTGTGGCATGGGGAAACAACAGCACATGTGGCACGTGTGTGACACGCACGTGAAAATGCACGCACGTGTCGCAAACACGCAACAACGACAGCCCAGGCACTCCCACTGCAACATCATGCACAACCACCATTCACAGCAACTGCAGCGTACCTTCTTGCTCTTGATGTGCACCGTCTTGAGCGTGTCATATTCAAGCACTGACAGCGCTGCCTGCGTGCACGAGAACTTGCCCTCGCCACCAGCCATCGTGTGTGTCGTGGGTGCAGTTCGTTGTTGTTCGTCGAGTGTCCTTCCACGATTAAAAAAGGTTGCGTGTGATTTGATTCAATGCAATTTTAAGCGAGGAGCCTGCGGTCCTGCCAAGACGACGGAGGTGTTTTGACGTGTGTGTGTGTGTGTGTGTGTGTGTGTGTGTGTGTGTGTGTGTGTGTGTGTGTGTGTGTGTGTGTGTGTGTGTGTGTGTGTGTGTGTGTGTGTGTGTGTGTGTGTGTGTGTGTGTGTGTGCATCCATGTGCGTGTATGTGTGCATCCATGTGCGTGTGTGTCGATGTCAGTGTGCCCCTTGTGTGCTCCCCTCGCGACACCATTCACCAGACCATTCACCACACAACCCCTCCACACTCCAAACACCATAGGAAAAACAAAAGACAGGATGGCAGTGCGGTATGCGCCGGAGGTGGTCAAGGCGTTTGTGTCTTCGCTGAACAACGACGAGCGACGTGCACTGGACAGCCTCAAGGAGCAGGTGGATTGATTTGAGCGTGTGGTTGATCCATGGCCTGCTCCGCTGCACTGTCGTTGTGCGCCTGCCCCTCCCCCTCCTCCCGCTTGCCAAATGCGCGCTCGCAGCCCACTCACTCCACTTTGTTTGCTGTTGATCGCGCCGTCGTCAACGTCAACACCAACACCAATGTCAATCAGCTGGGAGATGAGCACGATCACGACGATGTGGCGCTGATCCGCTTTCTTCGTGCGAGGAAGCATCACATCTCGCGCACAGAGAAGATGCTGCGCAAGTCACAGGACTCCATGGTACGTGTCATTTCGCAGCACACGCGTTGCAAAATGCATCACCATGCACGGCGCGTCAACATGCTGATGTGTGTTTGCACTGTGCTTTGAATCTGATCCCGACGCCCCAAATGTCGCCCTGTGCTCTGTGTAGGCGGAGCTGTGTGTGGACACGTTGCTTGAGACATATGAACCACCCGCATCTGCTCTGCGCTTCTACCCACTGAGCTTCTTTGGCATTGATCGCGAGGGCTGCCCCATCTCCCACGAGGCCCTCGGCAGTGCTGACGCCCACGGGCTCATGAAGTGCGTTGGAGAGACGTACACGCCCTTGTATCGCGTGACTGTCGTGGCCGTGCATGGTTTGTGTTGTGGCACCCGGCGACGCTGTCTTGCTGCCTTGCTGCCTTGTTGTCTTGTTGTCTTGTTATCTTGTTGTCTTGTTGTCTTGTTGTCTTGTTGTCTTGTTGTCTTGTTGCGTTGTTTGTTTATTCATGGTGCTCAACAGCAGCTGCATGTATCTGCTCTGTTCACCGCGCAATCGATGGCCAGGTCTGCATCTCTGGACGAGCTGTTGTTGTACAAGGTCTACGATTCCATGATCCACATGAAGCTACTGGAACTGAGGTGAGCTCCACAAGAGTATGTGTGTGTGATTTGCTTTGAACTGGTTCTTTCCTGGTGTTTGTGCGCTTCTAGCAGCTCAGGGGGTTCTCTGCGTCTTATCTGCTCACATCTGTGCGTGCCCACGATGTCTCCTGGACAACAGAACCATTGCAACAGGACAAGTGCACCACCAAATTACGGTCATCTTTGATCTCGAAGGTAACTTGCTTCCACTATGTACATGTGTGTGTGTGTGTGTTTGTGTGTGTGGTTGTGTGTGTGTGTGTCTGTCTGTCTGTCTGTCTGTGTCTGTGTGTGTCTGTGTGTGTGTGTCTGTCTGTCTATGTGTGTGTGTGTGTGTCTGTCTGTCTGTCTGTCTGTGTGTGTCTGTGTGTGTGTTTCACATGAGCGTGATTATCATTGATGCTGCACGTTTAGCTCACGCATATGACTGCCGTGATGATGTGCGCCTCCCTCATCCTCAGGGCTGTCCACGCGCCACATGCATCGCCCCTTTCTCAACCTCATCACCACGATGAGCGACATGTTCGAGTCAAACTTCCCCGAGAGCCTGCGTCGCGTACGTTCAAATCACCTACATTGTGTTTGTTTGTTTGTTTGTTTGTTTGTTTGTTTGTTTGTTTGGTTGTTTGTTTGGTTTGTTTGTTTGTTTGTGTGTGGATATGCAATGTAAATGAATGTATGATATTTCGACGCTGTTTCATTTCATCTCACTGAACGCCTGTCCTTCTACTCTTCCTTCACCACCACAGCTCTTCATCTTGAACCCGCCCCGCATCTTCCCCATTGCGTTTGCAATTGTGAAACCGTTCCTGCACGAAGCAACACGGGAGAAATTCATCATCCTTGGTGAGTGAGACTGTTTGTATGTGTGTGCATGTGTGCATGTATGTGCATGTGTGAGTGTGTGTTGGTGCGAGTGTGAGCGGTTGGTTGGAGCGCACTCGCAGCTTTGTGCTTGCAGACAACACGCACTCGCCGTCTGCGTCTCTTTTTGTCGGGCAGCGTTGCGCTGTTCACCGACATGCCCACGCGGCCCAATCGGCTTGCCCACCGTGTGCTTTCTTGCACAGGATGCAACAAGGAGAGCAATTTCAAGGAGCTGAGCAAGTACATTGAGCCCAAATGGATTCCACAGCGCTATGGCGGTCCCGTGCCTGACGGTCAGTCATTGTGACGTGACGCGTGTTTGGCCCTCTTTTGCTGCTGTGTTCTGTTGTACCCTTGTAGCGAGCTACACCTCATCGGCTACCACCTCCGTGCTTCAACGCACACACACACACATACAAATACACGCACATACACAAACCCACATACACACACAACACACAACATGCCGTGTGTCAGATGATGCTGGCGTGTGCTTCTCTGCCGAGCCCGTACCGGATGAGCATCATCTGAGCGCTGCGGACGTGATGGCTGGCGCTGTTCACGTCGAAGTGCAGAAACGAAGCCCTGCACTGCATGAAATCGACGTCCCGTGTGAAGGTACCACCGTTGTTCGTTCGTTGTGTGTGTGTGTGTGTGTGTGTGTGTGTGTGTGCGTGTGTGTGTGCGTGGTAGTCGCCCTGAGAAACTCGTGATGACTTGCTCATGTGCTACCCTTACCACCTCTATCATCCCACACCACCTGCACCTGCACACACACTCACACACGAAACTTCAAAGGCGCATGCATCGACTTTTGGATCAACACATCTGGCCAAATCACAATGTCGCTTGTGCGGTTGGATGACAATGCCTTGTGCATGGCGTCCAGGTGAGTCCCCCTTTTGCCTCTTGTGCATGTACGGTCCCGGATTGCGCCCTTGACAGGCAAACGAACGCAGTATCTGTTCGCTTGCACACACACACACACACACACACAAACACACACACACACACACACACACAAACACACACACACACACACACACACACACACACACGCACGCACTGTGGTTGTAACTTCTTCCACCGTTGGATCCCTTGTCTAACCGCCCCATCTACCTATCACTACGTAATAGGACTGTGGACTGCAGCGTGACGCCGCAGCACTACCGGTATGTGTGTTGCAAGGCAGGCAAGTACGCCATCAAACTGGAATACACGGCACGCGGTTGGTCGAGCACACGCGACGTGCAGGTGAAGGCGACCGTTGAAGAGACGCCCATGGCATCGCACGCGGAGGGCGTTGTGCGCTGGTGGATCAAACGCCACATGCCCGAGCACGAGCACATCTTGCTGCCCCACGTACCCTCCTCAGCGTCGCTTGCTCGCAGCAGCATGTCCCGTGACGAAGACTTCAACTACACCGACACCACGCGTGGCGATGCAAACGCGAATGCGCGCAGCGCTGACGGCGAGAACATTGTTGATGACGACGATGACGATGATGATGATGATGATGATGATGATATTTGGCTGGGAGATCCGCTTGAACACAAGGAGAAGCAAACAGAGGAGGAGACAGCAGCCACCCTCGCCCGCCAACGCCAGCTCCAATTCCAACTTCAACTCGAACGCCAGGCCGCAGCAGAACGGGCTCACGTTGCGTCCCTGTTCCAGTCCGTCGTGTCTGCACCGTGGACCGTGCACAGAACAGCCGTGTAGCGTCGGATGATGCTATCGTGCCTTTTTCTGTTGTTCGTGGTGGCTTGGCCGGCGACACCTGTTACTCAGCGGCCTGCCATGTTTCGATGGCATGATGCTTGCGGTCTCTGTTGCTGATGCTGTTGGGTTCTGTAGTAGCAATTGACTCGTGCCTCTTGTGTGTCTCCTGTATGTCTTTCCAAACATACACGCACCACGACACCGGCTTTGTTCTCTGACTTGCTTTGTTGCCAGTGGTGCTTTCGTAGCTTTTGGACCATGGTGTGTCCTCGCAGATTTATGAACAAACAAACAAACACCACAGGAGGCACAAGCAACTGTGACGCGTCACAGAACAACAGAAAGAGACGGATGCAAGCAAAACTTGAATCAGCGACACAGAATGCATTGATTGGGATTGGAAGAAGGAAGAAAACACGGCAGCAGTGAGTCGCAACGTGTGTGTGTGTGTGTGTCTAATGGAACGAAACAAACACAACAAGAAAAACAAGAACAAGCCAGCAATCAATCAACAACACCGGATAATTAAGCGCCATCGAGTGAAAAGCAAGCCAGGCGGGGTACACAAACCACCTGTATCAAACCACAACCACGCGCACATAACCACAGGATCCTCAACACAGAGTGAAAGCGACGCGCGCGCTGGTCAATCACATGGGCGCAACCACAGCGCCAGGCTTGTACTTGTGCTTTGGGGAGCCAAGAATCAACTTGGCCAAACCTGGCAATCGCACAACACAGCGCAGCGTGCACAGGAAAAGAGATAAGACAAGCGAACCAAATGTGAGAGATTGCTTTGCTGATCATGGAGTAAGACGCACGAAACGACGACATGGTACCGTGCTCTCACGCCTGACACCCAATCCACAACACTACCAGCACACCAGCACACACACACACACACACACACACACACACACACACACACACACACACATGCTCACCTGATCTGCGCTTTGAGGGGCGCGTGTGGATGGCGGCGTCAAGGGCATCCCTGCTCATGGGCTGCACCGCGGCCTCGTCTTCCTCCGCATCATCGGCAGTCGCCCCCTTTTGGGCGGCGGCGGCTGCCGTGGATGCTGCTGTGGATGGTGCGCTGCCCTGTGCTGTGATGCCACCGTTGAGCCTGACCGTGGGTCCTTCCGGCTCACGCATACCAACGCGTACTGGAAACAGGTGCAGCGAAAGAAGAAGCAGATGCAAGTGAGGGCACGTGTGTGTGTGTGTGTGTGTGTGTGTGTGTGTGTGTGTGTGTGTGTGTGTGTGTGTGTGTGTGTGTGTGTGTGTGTGTGTGTGAGTGTGTGTGTGTGTGTGAGTGTGTGCGTGTGTGTGTGCATGTGATGGCGGAGGTAAATATACAGATACACATAGTCAACGGCTTGCTTGCATTGATGTGTGCGCGCACCTGTGGTGGGCGTGTGCTCCTCAGGTCGCACAGTACCGCCAAGGCGCTCCTGTGATTGCATACAACATAGTTTGAGTGTGTGAGGGGCGCACGTGAGCGCAACAAGAACAGGTGGCTAGAGGCTGCAGGCAACAGAAGACACGGAGGGAAAGCAGGCAAGAGCGATGCGATGCGTGCAGCGCAAGGTGCGTATGTGACCTGGTATGTCTGGCCTGGCAGGGGAAGCTGCTGGTTTGTGCTTCTGTCACAGTACAAGCAAAGCATATGCATGCGGGGAACATGAGCGAAGAGAAAAACAGCGAGATGTCCACAAAATCATTGAACAACTACACAAGCACTTGCATACATGCATACATGCATACATGCATACATGCATACACATATACACATGGAGCAGCACACGACAACACATGTATATGAGAAGCTGCACTACGAGACGCACGGTTCTGGTTCGACGCTTGCGTCTTCTAAGAAGGCGAGCGGAACAAGGCCCATGTCGCCATCTTCAGCCTGTGCACACAGAAACGAACATAGAAACAACAATAACAACAGCACCCAGGCTCGGGAGGTGAGGCACTCATCACAGCAACAAACGCTTTAACACAAGCCAGAACAGGATCAAGCAGCAAAATAAAGAATGACCAATGGCAACAAATGCAACGTCACGTGCACCGACCATGGCCTTGGCAAACCCATCCTCACGCGGTGCCCACACATTCACAGTGAGAAGATCGCCCTGGCAGCGTGTGGCGAATAAAGGTGGTGGGTGAGTGCAGTAGTGGTTAATCGGTACCATGGAAAGCCGCATTGCTGTTTCCGACACAAGCATGTGCGCGGTCGTTGGCAGCTGCGCTGCAAGAAGCAACACAACAATGACATGGCAAGAACAATAAGGAGCAGCGCATGCGCAACCCACCTTCTTCAAGGACAGCATCTCATCCTTGGGTGCAGAGCTTTCCGCCACTTCCGAAGGATCAAAGTCGTGCCTGCAAGCAAGCGAGTTGAGAAGCACGCTATGAGCAGCCACCCCAGGAGACAAAATACACGTCGCAAGCGAAAAGCCTGCGTGCACACACACACACATGCTCTCGTGATGTTGCGCACCTTGCACGCATCATCTTTGCTGCGCCTGGGGGAAATGCGGTGTTGGCGGTTTGTGCCGAGGCAGATGTGAGGTCGTCGCGAGAGCCGGCACCGGAGCGCGTGCGTGCATGCACACCGTCACCACTCAACTGCTGCAGCAGACGCGTGCGGGGCTGTTTGCCGCGCAGCTGTTGGGGGAGGGGGGTGGCAGCGAGAAACGGACGAAAGGTTGGGGAAAACAAAAGCATGGGCGTGAGCACAAGTGAACTCATTCAACGATGGAGAAACAGCAAATGCCGCGAAATTACGCACGCACACAACTGATACATCCACGTGTACATAAACCCCCCCCCCACACACACACACCACAAACAAGAACCAAAGTACAGGCCCCCACCTCCTTGAGGTGCGAGGCAGGGGCGAGGCCGCGGTTGCCGCGAATGGCGACGAGCTGCAGCCCATCCCTGCGCGGCGGACCAAGAATCAGCACAGAATCGCCCTGGCGCAGCGCAACCTCCCTGTGGTAGGGCAACACAGGGGTGAGGAGCAAGGGAGGGTGAGGGGGAAGGGAAAGAGGCAATCAATGGTGAGATGAGAGGTGTCACAGCCCAACGATACACTCAAATAGTGTGTGCGTGTGTCGGGAGATGTGAATTGTTGCGATAGTCTGTATATTTTGTGTGCATATATGTGAGCGTGTGTGGTATATGTGCGTGTGTAAGCGTGTGCTTGCACGTACTGGTCTGATGCCTGCGGGTCTGGGACGTGGTCGTAGATGGCGACGGCTGTGCGTGGGTACGGGCGCGGGTGGCGGCTGCGGTGCCGCGAGTGCTCGGATGCAGACGACGGTGGACGGGTTCGGTCGCTGCTTCGACGACCGCCGCCGTAATGCGACGACAGCGCGGACTCCGGACGCGACGCAGACCCGTCACGGAAGCGCATGAACCGTCCAGCTGCAACCACCCAACAACAGGAGGCACGCGTGTACATATTCGTGTGTGTGTGTGTGTGTGTGTGTGTGTGTGTGTGTGTGTGTGTGAGCGTGTGTGCGTGTGTGAGCGTGTGTGCGTGTGTGTGTATGGTGTGTGTGTACGTGGAAGGAATGACTGATGGCAAACGTATTGTTGGTGTGCTCAGATGTCCAACGCACACGCGCGCAAATTCCGTGCACACAGTCATCCCACCCCTCACGCCCTATTCTTGTTTCACCGCTGCGCACGTACATTCCGGTGTCCATGCACGACGCGACTGCCTGCCAGCGCCACGAAGTTCGTCCATACTGCACCCACGCGCAAACACACACAAACACACACACACACACAAAAAAATGTGATGTGGGTCACACAACAGTGAAGCGAAACCACCACCGCCTGAAAAGTAGACCACGACCTCCCACAAGCAGCAGCAGCCGTGGCACAAAGCGACGTGGCTGTCGTACCTGCCGTTGAGGACTGCGCGGGCGTGGGGGTCGTTGGCGCGCTGAAGAAGCTCCCGATCAATGGCAATGCCATCCTGGCGGTGGCAACCACGCGCATATGCCCACATGATGCAGGAAAGTGAGGGGCTTTAGGGGAAATATGGGAGAGCACAATGGTGTGCAGGGAGATGCGCGAGCGCAAACCTTGGCATTGTTTGGAATAAAAACCCAAAAATATCGGACGAAGAAACCTCACGAAACCTCATCACTCTGCCGTACCTGTGACATGGGTGGGAGGGAGGCCAGGTAGGCAGCGGTGACCTTCTGTTCGGGAATACCGAGCAGTCGCGCAATGGCCGCCACCAGCTGCCGCAGCTCCTCCTCAAGCGTCTGGCACCGTGCGCAGTGATGTCGGTGTACGCGGAGATGTGGCAGGTGAGAAAGGGGTGTGTGGAGGAGGTAGGACCGCTAACGAGGATGCTTGTCAGCGCAAACCAGCACAGAGAGAGAGTGTGTGTGTGTGTGTGTGTGTGTTATGTGCGTGTGCGTGTGCGTGTGTGTTATGTGTGTGCAGACCCACCTTCACGCGGCGTTTCAGCTCATCGACTTCATCGCGCATCTGCCTGTTATCGGAACGCAGGCGCTCATTCGCCTCCGCTGCATGGAGTGCGCAGAGAAAGAAAAACAAAGCAGGAAGAAGAACATGAGGGCAACGATGATGCGGATTAGTAAACAAGCGTAGCCAGCGAAACATGACCACCATGAAACATACACACACACACACGGCTGCGTACTGAGGTCTGAGACGGAGGCCTGGAGACGCGTGGCGCGGTCCTCGGCAACCTCCTTGTCCAGCCGGGCCTGGCGTGCCTGGTGTACATGCACGCAGTGGTCGGGTGTTGCGTGTAAGTCAATAAAGATTGTGTGAGTGAGTGAGTGAGTGAGTGAGTGAGTGAGTGAGTGAGTGCGTGAGATGCAGTCCGCATCCCGCGCGCAATGTGCGAGAAGAGCTCGAGCGCTTCTAGGGAAACCATGAGCGCAAATCTTCGGCAACTACGAGGCACGTACAACCACCATACAAACACAACCCAAACACGCGAACACAGAGAGCAGGAAGGTCACGTGAGCAGGGCGCGGTACCTGCTGGTGGGCGTCTTGGAGCAGCTGGTCCTTGTCCTGGATTTCCTGCTGCAGTTCCTTGCGCTTCTTGTGGCCTTCGCTCACGTCTTCAGAGAGCGTGCGGATCAGCTCTTCGAGCTCTTGCACGCGCTGTGCACGTGGTGCAGAAAAATATAAGAGAAGGGGAGGAAGTCAGCGCATGCAGGCAACGCGAGCACGGCAAATATGACATAGAGCCCGCCATGCACGAGCACAATCAGCGACCCCACACTTGCCTTCACTTTCTCCGTTTCTGACCGCCTCACACACGCACACGCATACACACACGCGCGCGCACACACACACAAACACACACACACACACACAAACACACACACACACACGTACGCACATACCGAGGGGTCCTCGCTAGCGCGGAGCCGGGCCAGCTCGACCTCTGCTGCCATGAGCTTGGCCTGCACGTTCTCCTTCTCTTCCTCGGCCTCTGCCTGGGCCTGTGTGGCTGCCTGTACGCGCGCCTCCAACGCCTCCACGGTAGCGCCCATTGTGGCATTGGCCTTTTCTTGCTCGTGCAGCCGCTTCTCCGTGTCCCGCAGCACATCCTGCACTTGCCGCTGTTGTCAAAGAACATGCCGAATGTGAGGGAGGGAGTGGGTGTGTGGTTGTGATTGCAGTTTGATTGGCGTTAGTGAGCGAGTGTGTGTGTGTGTGTTGTTAGAAAGGATGTGCATTGTGAGAAAGGCGACAAGACAGCGCCGCTCACGACCGAGTAAACGCAAGCGAGGCCATGGCAACCGTGAGATCAACATGATACAGAAAACACGCGTCGTGTTGCAGTGTGTTTCTCTCACGTAGTCTGCGAGGGGAACGCTTTCGCCACCGCCATTGGCAATCTGCTGTGCCATCTCGTGCATGTTGCGCTTCAGGTCATCCACCTGCGCTTGTTTCGCCTCCACCTGCCAGGTCACATGGGGCACGACATGTGCATGGGAGAACGTGAACATGTGCGATGATGCCCAGCAGAATGCCAGTCCAGCAAGTATGCGGCAAAACCATGTGGGCGCTCGAATACTTCAACACCTCAATTAAAAACACACACACAACACAGCACACAGCACACAACACAGCACACAACACAGCACACAGCACACAACACAGCAGAGCACACAACAGCACATCGCAGTGCCAACCTCGTTTGCGAGTATGTCGTTGTCGTCTGTGAGCTTTGTGATTTCGTCGCGGGCCTGGCGGAGGTCAGAGTGCAGCTGCTCCGTCTCTGCCGACGCCGATGCACGCTGCGCTTTTTCCACCTCCGTCACCTCATCCTGTTCCAGCAGAGGCACAGAAAGAGAGAGAGAGAGAGAGAGAGAGAGAGAGAGAGAGAGAGAGAATGAGAGAATGAGAGAATGAGGTGTGTGTGTGAATGAGAGAATGAGAGAGGGGGGTAGCAGAGAGATGAAGCACGCGTTGGAACAATGTATTGCCATCATCGCACCAATGTTAACGTGGAACAGCGAACGAGCAAAAGACAGCACGCTTACTCACAGACCATTCAAACAAACAAGCAGGGGGTGCGTACCGGTGTGGTGCTGTCCTGTTGCTGCTCAAGGCGGGCCGCCACCCGCTGCGCCACTTCCAGCGTTTGCGCAAGTTTGTCTGCACATCACAGCACAGCAAGAACAACGACACAACAAACAACACGTCAGACAATGGAAAGAATGCACACACCAACATAAACTCGCACACACATGCACAGATGCACTTGCACATACACACACCAAAACAGACACACAAAACGCGGGCGCGAACCTGCTTCTGCAGAGACTTGGCGTGGTGTGTGCTGCATGGTGGCAAGGTTAGCCGCAAGCGCCTCGGAAGTGCCACACGCCTCGTCAATCAACTGCCGCAACGCATCCATGTCGGCATCACCATCTGCGTATCCACACACGAACGCGAATATAAGCAGAGTAGGAAGTGTTTGCAAGAGAACACGAGAGAGACTCACATGGGCACACACACCAAACAAAAAGTGTTTCAAGCTGACAAATCCGACACAGCAAACGTGCCCTGTGCGTTGCGTCAAAGCATGGGCAGCGTACCAGACATGTTGGACAGGTCCAAGGCAGCAAGCTTCGATGACTGTGGTGAGGCCGACGCACGACTCGTGCTGTCGCCCTGCTCCGCCTGCTGCTGCTGCTGCTGCTGCTGCTGTTGTTGCAGCTGCGCCAGCTGTGCACGTGCGTCCTCCAGCTCACGAATCGTGGCCGAGAGGCTGAGCTTCAGCTCGTCAACCTGGGTTGCGAGAGCGCTGCTGTCGCCGTTGGTGTTAGATGGCGTGTTCTCCTTTGAGGACGACTGGGCCTCAAGACGGCGGGCCAGGCGGTCGGCGCGCGCCTGTGCAGGTGGTAACAGCGGATTGTGTGTGTGTGTGTATGTGCGTGTATGTGCGTGCGTGCGTGCGTGTGTGTGTGTGTGCGTGCGTGCGTGCGTGTGTGTGTGTGTGTGTGTGTGTGTGTGTGTGTGTGTGTGTGTGTGTGTGTGTGCGTGTGTGTGTGTGTGTGTGTGTGTGTGTGTGTGTGTCGGTTGGGCGTGAGACACAAGTCAGGTGCAAACAACGAATGACGATCCATGGACGGCGCATACAGTCGACACGTGAATTGCAGTCACGCCACAGCGCCAGAAGCGAATGGGCATGAGCATTGACGGACCGAGGCGGCTTCTAGCTGCGCTGCCAGCTGCTGCTGCTCAACGCGATGGCGAACCTCAAGCTCTGTGCAGCAAACAAGTCGCGTGTGGCACCACAACAAGGCAAAAACAGCCCAAAATCAGATCCACGGGCGTGCATTGCCACTCCCTCTTCTCTCCTCATGAAGCCGGCTCAAGCAAATGCCATGTCGCATCTGACAACGAAGCACGTGCACCACGCAAGACAGCAGCGACCGGCAATAGATACCCTGCGCATGGGAGTCCTTTGCCAGCATGTCCTGCTCGAGCCTGCTGACCGTTCCTTCCAGTGCCGCCACTGTGCCGTGCGTGGCGTCATCGCCGCCCTCTCGCTGCTGTTGGCTTACTTGGTGCTGCTGGTGCTGCTGGTGCTGCTGGTTGTGTTTACGAAGCACCTCCACCTCGCGCTCCAACCTGTCTGCGCGCATGCGTTCAATGAGCGCGTTGGCCTCTGCTGCTCCTAGTCGCGCCAGCCCGTCTTCAGCAGCAACCAGCCGCCCGTGCGCCCCAGCAGCTTGCAGCTGGTGGGCACATGTGTGCAAATGTATGTTGGTGGTTGAATATGGGTGTGTGTGTGTGTGTGCGTGCGTGTGTGTGTGTGTGCATGTGTGTTTGGGCGTGGAGATAGCAGCGGCGTGAGCTTGCACCAAACGAAAACATTGCCTTCTTGTGCTGTAAGCGCACACACAGCCGCCACACCACGCAACCCATCCGCCTCCCAGGCGCTTGCAGTTATGAGATCTCTACTCCACCGCGTACCTTTTCGTTGTCGTGCTCC